TGATACATTTTGGATATCACAGAAGTCTGGATGTCTTTATAACGTCTTGACTCATTAATCCATTAAATCAAATCAGTCCATCTTATCATCATCGTTATCAGGAGATCATCCATTTATCTATTTATTTGATGTTTTTGTTAAAACTTTTAATGCTTTACTGTAATTAATATCAAATCCTCGGAACTTTCTCCTTAATTAGTCGATCGACAGAAAATTAATTGACAACTGTTTTGATAATCGAGTCACTTTCCAATCAAAAATGCCAAATAATACATGGTTCAAGCCTCTCAATGTGGAAAATCTTCTGCTTTTCTTTATCTTTATACATTTATATCATAATAGTTTACTAAATATCTTTGGGTTTCTTGATTATCAGTACAAAACAAGCTATTTGAATATGTCACCTTAGGCATTCTTTACTTTTTCTAACATTTTACAAACAAAACAACTAATAGAGAAAATAATTGGTGGATTAATCAGTAATGGAAATACTTGTTTGCTGCAGCTCTAAACATGAATAACAAGGACCACCCACAAAATACTTTACTCCTACAAAGCACACTTGCTGGCAACCCTTTTTTTTTTTAAATGTATTAGATTTTGGGGGAGGGGAGGCAGCTGTTAGTTGGGCCCAGCTGTCAATGACGGCTGGCAGAGATGAGAGGGGAGGAGATGATTTTGAACAAACCTGTGCATACACGGTCCCAAAGGAACGACACTTTAAAGAATTCCCTCAAAAGCCCAGATGATCGCTGGATGTCTCTGTTTACCTCTGCGTCTGCAGCATATTTACAATCCCATGCACACATTAATTATGCTAAACACTGCGATGGAGATGAAGAAACCATGATGGACTTGGCAGAATGAGGCTCAACATCAAATGTCTTTAGCAGTTTGTAATTTACCCATGGCCGATGGTTATGGAAAATTTTCTTGAGGCTTGGGTCCGACCTTCGCAAGCCCAATTACAAGAGACACCCACAAGCTGTTGTGGTCTCGTTGCATGATGTCCAAACACAATGCAACAAATTGCACAGGATAAATTAAGGTGGGATTAGGCCAGGGATTGAATAGATTATTTTTTGTGACAGAAGTGGTGGAAGAGAAATCCCAGTTTTGACAGAATGAAAATTAATTCAAAACAGTTTTGCTAGGACGTATCTTCAACCCCTACAATTATTATGCATGAAGTGAAACGAGAAAAAAATGTGAAGGAAATTGTGGTACAGCTCAGTCTAGACTACAATGCAGATTTACTTTTCATGCTGTTCACGCCGTGTTATTTCTCAAACCATGCATTAGCACACACTGATTTCTCTGCCCTTCATTTTCTGTGTTGCAGCCTGGCTAGCACACTGTGGACTTTTGCAAGCCATTACAGAGACCACTGGAAGCCAGGCAACATTATGCTTAATGACACGGCTTTAAGATGGACAATGAAGTCTGTTGTTAAATTAAATGCTTTTAGTTGTACCAGCCTGGATTTTCTAAAAAAGATAAATACTTTTGAAAATATTCTCTGCCATTGGAGCATTAGCAATAGCAAAGTTATTTATTCATTAACACAACCGCCTTCTGCCAATCACAGCTTTCCTCATTTGCACTCTGACTATATATATATATATATACACAATATGTATGCATATCTCTACTGACAAGACAAACACAGAATTCCTCACATGACAAATGACATAAAAAGCCTCTTGAAGTCCTTTCATGTACAACTCCCAATATTTCCCCCTTAAAGAGTAATTCTCTTCTCAAAGCCAAAGCAGCTGCCTCCCATCTCAAGCCACTGAGTCCAGAGCTAACTAATGTGTCCAGCTTCAAAGCCACCAGCCTGAAATGTTATGATGAGCTGGATGACAATTAGACTAGCTTGCAGCCATAAGCATACAAGCCAGAAGACACTGCACAGCATTCCTATTTAAACCAGTGGCGTGTTTGGGATGGGACAGACAACACAGTGAGTCGAAAGCGCTAGTTGGTTGGTCTGTTGGTTGGTTGTTCCCCAGATAGACAGGATACTGTTACCAGCCACTTCTTTTTCACCTGCTTAGCAAGGTACTTCGCAGGGAGGTTGAAGTTATCCTGGAAGTTCATGCAATCCACCCTGGATCCCAACCCCTCTGCGTTCAGGCTGGAGTAACTAGTGCAGTGAAAAAGAAAGGAATCCCTCACTGGCTTCCCACTTAACTTCAAACAGTGGTGGAATGCATGACTAAGCCAAAAGGTAGCCCTACCAGGAATTGAGGCCCATGACCGAGAGTTTGGCCTATGTGTCACACATGTAATCGACTGTTTTACGTTAGAGACGACAGAGGTACCTGCATGGTAGTCCTCAGTCTTTATCCATCTATCTTATCTAAATGGGTCATGTAGTAATTCAAGTATGTGCATCCAACCTTTCTTGTATATTCCAGCAACCTGGAAAAATTGTGTTTCATCTCTTTTCAAATCTTTGGAAGAACAGAGCCCAAAGAGAAGCTAGCCTACCTACCTTCCACCAAACAAGGATGACTAAAAAACATAAGCAACAAGATCAAGCCAGGGAGGACAGCTCCCCCACAATTCAAACAGAATTTATCTTGCTTGTAAATTGGTTTTCGTCACAACTGGCTGTCAGTGTTGGCGTTTGTGGGTTTCAGCGTGTCAGATTTGACACAGCTCCCCTTCAGGAGCTGTGGGCTGTAGCTAACCACCCACACATCCCACTGGGGAGCTACCATCTTCTTCAGATCCCCTTCACCGACTTGACAACACTGATCACTCTCATCATCGTCCCCTCCAGCACTCAGGAGAGATTTATGCCTCAAGCATCTGATTGGTCAACGCATGGCTAATACCATCGTAACAAAGCCTATAAGTGCGGTTGCCTTACTGTAACGGAAACCTGAGGCATGTAAGGATTCAGTAATGACAGCTTCTCCACATATCTCACGCACATCTCCAAATATACTGCAAACCACCACCACCGAATGTTTCCAGAGGTTAACAGCACATCATATTTGATGACATGCACAATTGGAGGACTAGAATCCAGTACTTTATGTGCCTGGAGACACTGTCATGTTTCTGCATCTCCGCACCAGTGACCAACACAGGAGCCATGCCCCGTCAATCACAAACTGACAGATCAAGGCTGCATGCCAAAAGGGACAAGGCAGCCTTTCTCTGGTCCAGGACACTTGCGAATTACAGGATTTGCACATCTTTGAATAGATGTCGAAGAACACACTCTATATGTGAAGCTATTTAACAAGAAAAGGCTAAATTAATTTGTTTACCAGGATGGGTAATGTGCAGGAGATAAAAAATGAAAGCATTTGAACATATAAACCCAATTAACTGCTCAAATAAAGAAATTCCTTCCTCACCCTCTTAAATGTGAGTAATGCAGACCTTTGCCCAGTTTATGGTATGATTATAATTTATGCCACCTCCTAAGCAGCGCTCGCAGACTGTGTCTCTTTTGTGTAGCCCCAGCTTTACGGCAGTGGAATCTCAGAGGAAGAAAAGAGCCAGTGTCATGCGGTCAGAAGGCATTTCAGTCAGATAAAAATTTGTGTCAGCACTTTCTGCCAGAGAGCGAGAGGCCAGCGTTCAGAGCTGTTAGCCTCTTTCTCAGAGGAGAGCCAGAGTTTAATGGGACTACTCTTCCACTCCATTTGCTGGCCCGCATCTTACAGGCCACAGCTGCATACATGAGAGCCAGTGACTGTCACTCTGCATACCTCTCTGCAGCCTGCAAGCTCCACACTCCCTTTAGCAGCTGACAGAAGTTGTTCAGACACACACTTAAAAACATAATGTATGTGGATGACACAATGTTAAACCCTGGTAATGAGTTTGCAGGGGTCACTAGCAGACGCCTTAGTGAACTCTTTAACTTATTTATTGGCCGAGCCAATCATTTCACCAACTCCTGGTGCTGCCAACATTATATTCCTTCTGAATATGGCAGAAGCACAAGGCCTTACTCTAAAAAACTTCTTATGAAATAACTTTGGATCTATTTCAGAGCCAAACAACAATTTCATGGCTGGCCAGTCACAAAGTAATTACATATGGCCCCAAACCGACACATCGATCAGTACTCGGGACACTTCTTAAAAAAAGACTTTTCAGACAGACAGCTTCTTGAAGAGATGACAGCACCTCTGCAGAACATATAGTAAAAATTTTACAATGAAAATATAATGAATATATTATTTTGCAGCACAAACAGCTGAATTATTTTGCGGTACCAACTCTCCTCTCCCAAAACAGATGCATCACTATTAGTTACGTGACCATTCTGTTTAAAAAAGATTACCTTTTTTAATTTACAAAAATGTTTCTTAATTACCTTGAATAACTTACAAGCTCAAGCTTAAATTAATTTAGAAAAATAGCATAAAGAAAGCTAAAAAAGCTTTTTTCCTGCCATCATGCAAATATATTCCTTTGTTTGATAGTCTTTTTAACCAACTATGAAACATGAATCGGGTATATTTACAGCAAGTTGTACAAGTTTACCAAGAACCACTGAACTTGTACATGACATGTCTAAACAAGTTCTGATGTTTTCCTAAAATGTAAGATAAAATGCCAAGATGAAACTGTCTGATAAGGCAACCACAGAGTAGGCCTGTGTTTTAATTTTAAAAAGGGTATCAAAAGGGAGTTTGGCTACTGCATGAATTTCAGGAGTTAAAAACGAAAAGGACAATAAAGAGTCAAATATGCAAGTTTACCCATGTATCAATCAGAGCAACACACAAACAAATGTGCTCACAATACATGTGTCTGCTTCAAAAGGCTTTCAATTCATCTTTCTCAGACAGTTAAACAATGTATTCTTGTCCTTTTGTCTACTTGCAAACACAAGGTTAACAATGTAGCTATTGTTCTGTGACTGTTACTTCACATGGTGACCTTGGTGTGAAGAACCAATAGGTATAAAAGGTCCGGGCAATATACACTAGTTTAAGTGCCATGAAACTTGAGAGATGACTCACCATGAGTAGACAGCAGGCAGGTCTCCAAATCCGGCTTTGAGGGCAGTGAGGCGCTACATTTCGCTAGGCTGAATCACAGTCCAGATCCCTCTCCAGAGGGGACACCCAACAGTTCTCTACAAAGGCAACCACAGTGAAAAAAAACAAAAAACTTTAACTCAAGGCGAGCAACGGACTAAAAGAGCCTTGTATTGACACACAGCAGAAGCAGCAGACGCAATTTGACATCCAGCTCAGTGGCGTGGCAAGTTTACGCAGTGGACTGCCTGGCCTGTCACCGTTCACACACTATTCCGGCAGAGAACACAAACAGTGGCCGGTGATGCAAACAACATCGTTTGGGGGTATGTACAAGGGCTGGTTGTCAAAGGGCAGACTGGGACAGTAGACAGTTGTCACCCTCTTCAGGGGGTGGTTCTGACATAAAGTGCTGCTTTCAGAGTTGTGAGGCAGAGCCACTGAGTCCCTAAGCAGTCTGACCAAAAGTGTCATTATGTTATTAGCTGGCGAGTTAAGGACGGGGGAGAGGGGAGACCAACATTTTTGTGTGGGAGATTTTAGCAGTCATGTGATAAACACTAAAGAAAGAGAGAGGGAGATGTGAAACTGGCATATCACGTAGACATTTGTGCACCTCATTTAGTATCTTACCTGGTCACTAAACACATGTGGCCATCCAGTGTTTGAATCCAGTCTTTACATTGACATTTATCTTTCTTATTTACTTTCATCCTGTTATAAATTATTAGAAAGATTAGTTGAAGCTGCATTGGCCCAAAGAAACATATGTGCAGGTTATTAGGCAATTACATAAACACAATTGGCAGTTAACCCGCTCTATAGAGAATTAATTCCACACTTTTAGAAAGAGAACATTGCTCGGTTATAAAAATTAAGTTATGAGAGCAATGCTCCACTGTTTGTTAAACAAACAATTTCTTAAGTGTCAACACCCAAAGAAAAAAAAAAAAAAGCATCCTCCAGAGTAATTCAGCAAATGAATTCAAGCATCACAGAGTCCTTGCACCAACCCTGAAATCTACCTCTGCGATATCCCCCAGTGTCAATGCAACCGATTTCCTCATATTTATGAAGGACAACTAAGGCGTGGATGTTGAAAGGAAGCAGAATGTCATTCCTGCATAAAAGAAGTCTTCAGACAAAACTGCAACACAATAATCAAGTTTCCTCAAGGGTGTCACATGGACTCTATATTTTTTTCCCATTTTCTAATTATAGTTTGCACAATGCTCTCTGTAGGGAACACTTTATAAGACTTAATCTGGATTTCACACTGAGTTGCCAACACATTAATTAAGCTGAGCCAACCAATGGGAGTCTAAATAAGTTACAGCAATAATAACGAGGAACAGAAAGGAAGTCATATCTCCATAATTCTCAGTTTGATTTTATTATGTATTGATTATATGTAGAAAGGCTTGGATGGGAAATTTAAATATATTCTGTGAAGCCCTGCTTGGGGTAACATATGTCTTTTTTAATGTAAAGTGAATAAAATGTGAAATCCCACACAGGGAATGAAATGACACCCCCTCAATCAAACTCTATTTTTGTCTTTTTTGGATTTTCTTGATTTGCTCAAATAAAATGAGGTTTGGTGAAGCAATTTTTTTGAGTATGTGTGTTGGAGAAACTCTTTACGAGACAGCTTATGATTCGGGGTTAAAGAAATATGGCCACAGACTGACACAGAACATTTCCCAAGGTCAGCATCCCCTGGTCACTCGAAGCTAAAAGGGTCACAAAGGCCGGGCAGCTGTCCCCCCAGCAGATGATGATTAGAAGAGAAGCAAGACCAAAACACCTCCCTGTGCTGTTCGTCTGGTTTACAACGATATGGATTGCTCAAGCAAAAAAAAAAAAAAAAAAGGGCATTCAATTAGAAAGAGACTTCCACTGAAATCTCAGACCCATAGAAAGCCCATTCAAATCTCAAACATGTGGCAGAATGCGTAATTCTTCTCTGTCCACTGGGTTTCTGCATTATTAACTGAAAAGGCCAGAAATACGATCAAAACAAATTATGCGACCAACACTCTAAGTCTCCATTTCACTGATAAATATGGCATTTAAGCGTTCCCTCTCATCTCCTTCTCAGAGGCCATGAGTGTTTAAGCTTTCATGTAATACAAATCCCTCTGTGTAAAGTCTAGCAGTTCATGTTTGCCTTTTTACTGCATCAAATCACAAAGAAACCTGCTGCTGTGTCTCAGACTCTTTCTGCCAGTTTGAGAAATAGGTACTCAGACAAATTGGCCTGCTTAGACCAGCCTCCACGCTCAGTACAAGGTGTCTGAGATCTCCCTTGACCATATTTTCTCTTTGTCAGAGATTTGGGATATAAAACACAGGGCAACAGAGACCAATTACTTACACACACCAAAAAAAAGATAAAAATTGTTATCACCAATTAATTTAGGCTACACAACCTGAGACAGGATATCAAAAGAACAGGCAAACATCTGTAGCTAATAAGGTGACTCCTTTAATTGTGTGTTAGGTGTAAAAATCATCTTTACTCCATGTTTCAGTCTGCGGTCATACAAAAGGCAGTCAAATGCAATGAGTATAAGTAAACAAGCTTTAAAAATATCCTTCATTAAGATGCATTTCTGTGATGTACAAGTTAGACAAGAATTAACTAGAGGCTGGGAGAAGATTTTCAATAAAACAAACTTTGGCACAGTCATTAGAGGCACTCCTCAACCCCCAGCTGTTTTAGCTGCCTTCTGTACTCCTGACCTCCTCTCAGGGGTTTCATCAGAGTTTTTTTTCTAAAAGCAAGTTAAATACTTTTTTGTTTAACATATGTTTTTACTTATTATCATCTATCATACTGTACTTCACCATACTTAACACTGTGGACTTTCACTGTTCCCTGATAATAAAGTTTATTGTTCAACTGTAAAATATTGTGCCACAGACATATCTTTATCTATCTTTAACAACTCACTGAAGGATCCCATTTTTTGTTACATATTTACATAAAAAACAAAGACCTTGGATTTTTTTTATTCTCATGCATCAATATCAGCCTCCAAAAATGGCCACCTCAAATTTTCGACTGCGTGTACCAGCACAAAATTCTAAGGAACGAGGTTAGCATGTGAAGTTGCAGACCCAGGTGAACAAATCCCACAACATGGCCTCCGCCACGTCTCTGTTGCTGCTGTGCCCAAGCTCATTAACAAACACTGTGTACATAAACACCCTACAACGTTCTTCAACAACTTATGTGATATCGTGCCCTGCAGCACTTTTTTTTGTTTGCATCTATAATCTTGAAGGCTAGTGACAAGCAAAGGAGATGAAAATACAATAATGAAGTGTATCCACAGCAGGTAAAGACCCACCACTGCATCACTTTCCTGTTAACAGGTTTTTCAGCTAATCACTACGGAGCTTCCAGGTGAATTTCACCCTCATTTGCATTGAGTTATTCCTCAGTGTTTTGAGAGGTGATTCTCTTGCGTTACTTTGCAGGCAGTGTACTCCGAGCAGAGTGGATTGTATCGCATGTTCACGTTCAGAATATTGGAAATGAATTCCACAGGAGGTGACTTTGTCGAGCCCATCATTCAATAAGCCACCCCCAGCCCCTAAAATGGACGTGTAAGTGCTGCTCAGCTGCTTGTCCCATTACTCTTCAACGACCAAAATGCAATTCCTAATGTGACAGCCTGCCCTTTACCCCTAAATCAAGGCAACACTCTTTTCCACCTGCTTCAGCATCCTTTAAGCACAGATGCCCTTTCATACTAGGCCCAAAATGAGAAACGCTGCATCTTGTACGAGACTGTGGCTCATTAAAACATGTTGCCAATGTTGTCGTGTGGAGAGCCAGCTGAAAGAGGCTGAAAAGCACTCTATACCATCCAAACACAAAGGTTTTGGACTGCCAATGCTGAGGAACTCAGGATATAAGCACAACCGCCTCCAACACCTACCTATACTTACTAAGAAACCAACCTCAAATGTGCTTAATATTTTATCATAAGAAACAAAAATAGAACATCTGAGCAGCAGCCTGGCAGGTGTCTGTCCCTTAAGTGCTGGGTACAGGTTTGAATGACCCATTATCCGAGCACACCGAATTAACAGGGATCAACTTTAAACAACAGTAACCTTCTTAACAAACACGTGCCATCTGCCGGTCTACACTCAAAGCACGAAAAGTCTGCAGTTGCTTTACAGCCGCTGCTATTTTCAGCACTAGCTTGATCTTATTCAGTGTAGATCAAGATGAATGAAACGTTTAGGCAAATACAATTCAGAAAGCTGTCCTGGCAGAGGGGCTGGAGCCTTCAAAGCGTGGAGAATGGGATACACTTAGGGAGCTGGTTTAAAGCATTGCCTAAGATTAGCCCCTTCCTTAAAACCCATCTCATTACAGCAGTTACATCTAATAAAGAAGTGGGAGATGACGGGAATATTACTCCGTCCTTAATACCGCAACTAACGTGGTAGTGAAGCCTCAAGTGAAATGTGTTTCTGTCTGTCTTTCTCTTTATGTCTAGATCCCAGACAGACATAAAGCTGGAGGAGACATAAAAACTATGCCCAAAGAAAATACACAACAGGAGAGATACTGAGTAAATGTGTGTGTTTATGTTATCTGTTTGTGCTCACATAGTGAAAAGATTGACAATTTCACACACCAACCGCTGTGTCGTTAGCTCTCATTACCTCTGTGACTCCATGTTAAAAATGTATGCTTCGGGGCCTCCTATGTCTTGTTGGCTAAATGAATAGGGAACCTAATATAGTTTCCTTGGAACTGGCATTAACACTCTGTGGGGCTTTCAGCTGGATATCAATTAGAGGCTCATTAGGCATTTAGAGATGGCAGTCCCTCTGGCTTCCTGTCGCCTACTGTGTAACTGGCTGACCCTGAACTTGCGGGAAGGCTGGCTCTCTCTGTGTCTTTTCAGCCTTGGGAGAACAGCTATCAAGCAACTATATCAGGCATGCTTCCTTCAAATCTTGTATTTCGGGAAAAGCATCGTATTTCAAAAAACACGTAGCCATGAGAGTAAAAGTTCATGGATCATCAGGGGAGCATAAATCACTAATGCAAAATGTAGTCTTCACGCTA